CACGACGATTTTTTGTTACCGTCGTCTTTTTAAAAACAACGACGGTTTTTTGTTCTACCGTCGTCTTTTTCTGGTCGTCTTTTGCTCTTTTTGTAGTAGTGTAATGGCTTTCTACGTAATCAAGGTAAAAGACTTTAGACTTAGTATGCTTCATGAAATCTTTCCATTAATTGAAAATTTCTTTTCTTTGAACTTTAGGGAAAGCTGCATGATACTTGGCTTTTCTATCCGCATTTTCCGGCGCTTGAAAATGGGTTTCTAATTTAGACCACTTAATTTGGAATGGTTTGCTCAGAGTTCTCAATTGGTTATCAATTTCAAAGGTGGAACCTTCAAAATCAGTCTAAGTCGGGGGACTTTTGTTTTTCTTCTACTAGGGCTTTGCCATAACAGGGTTGGACAATTTGGGCTTTTCTCCTTAGGTTGTCTAATTTGAGATCAATCAAAGTTTTTTCTAATTCTAAATCCCTTTCCAGAGTGGAAGAGGATTCTGCAGAGGAATGTCATGCAGGTTGCTTAAAGGATTGACTTGGTGTGGGTAATTGCTCAAGTTGGACTGTAGATTTAATTGGGGGTTGGTTACCAAAACTAATCTTAACAGTGCCATTTAAATATTGGTCAATGTAGTCTAAATTGTTTAAACTACGTTGAACAGGTAACGGGGGGCTTTCGGTTGTTAAAAACCAATCTGTTGGTAACTTGACATCTGACCACTTCATCATGTTAGGGACTTTGATGTTGGCTAGCTTGACTACCAATGCTTTGAATGAGTAGAGTTTGCTCTCTCGGACTTTTGCTTCAGGCTTGAAAGTTCATGTTTGTACCTGTGACTTTGTAGTAAATCCTATAGATCAAAGCTAAAGGTTGACTAGCAGACAAAATATTATAACCATTTGTCTTAATATTCAGGGTTAAAGTCTTAAGAATGTGTGGGTCACTTAAACTTACCGTAAAATCTGGGTAACAGTCAAAATGGATCGGACCGTTACACAGGCTTGACTCAATGATTCCCAAGGCACTATCCTGGAAATCTGGAAATCTGGCATCTCTTAAGCAGAGGAGAATAGAGGTGTTTATTCCTAACTTAGTTAAGGGCTTAACTGCAACTTGGACATGACCAATATGCAGGAAATTGTTTCCTTCCTTTCTATGCTTCTTAGTGGACTCAAGATTTAGTAACTGGCAAGTTTCATGTTCTTTGCTTAAGGCATAAACTTGTTCAACTGTCTTGACATGGGTGGTTGACTTAAAAGACTTAAGAGACCATTGTTGCTTATAAATTTCTTTGCTAGAGACTCAGGGTATATTCCAATCTTTATAATTGAACTCACTAGTTGACTCAAACTCGATTTGTTCTTCATTTACAATATCTGGGACTCGACTCAAGCTGGCTCTAGAACTGGAAGAATTGACTGAGTTGGTTCTTAGAAGGCGACTCATACTTACAAGTTTTTGATTTCAGACTTCAAAGAAAGAAGACTCTTGGTAACTTCTAAAGCTGACTCAAAGGTATCTGAGACTCAAATCGTTCTCTCTCTCACCTCTCAAGCCGCAACCGCTCGTGCCTCTCCTGGGTCTTACCGTTTGGACTCTAGGACTTACTGTTCAGGTCGAGAGAAAAAGACTCAAGGGGACAGACAACAAAGAAACAGACTTAGAAGAAATTGGGAGACTTGCGAACTCAGAAGACTTAAACCAACCACTTAGGCGGGATGAGTATAAGACGTAGAACTGACTCCTTCAACGCTTATGGCTCTGATACCAAATGGGATCTAGACGCCAGAAGAAATGCGAAACAAGTAGTGGAATTGAATAGAGATAAAAGACCAAGTAATATATATATATATGTCAAAACTGTACAACAAGCAATTTAAATATCCCCATTTGTTCAGCATATACAAAAACAGAATTCATGCAATCAAACATGTCACATACCAAAGTCCAAAGATACTAATATGATAACATTCATGACAGGCTAAGTAGAAAAGGAGGTGCATAAATAAACTGGCTGATATATACACCACAACTGCCGCTTGATGCAAATAATATCAAATTAGGCTCACAAGTGATAATGATAATAAAGAATTTATAAACTTCCCTCCAACTCCGAACTTCACAATCAATCACTAACAACCTCAACAATTTTCAAGCATAAAAGAAAGACCTCCGTTACTAATATAAATTTTGTAATGATAAACATATAAATTTCGGATTCTCATTGGCATGAACCGAACTTTGCAACTCTATCATGACATTAGGCCTCGTTAAATCAATTAAATTGTTTTGACAATTGAGCTGATCCCAATTTTTAAAACAACATAAGTACGTTAACAGATTTCAAAATAATTTAGTTGAACAACTTTTCAATCACTTGGTCTTACGGCAGCACCTAGCAACTCTACGTTGCCTACATACCCTTAACCAAGGATCAAGCCACATGTAGTTCTTTCACTTTATATATATATATATATATATACCTAAAGATTTATAATTAACTTATTATAGATAAATAGCAAAACGAGAAAATTATTAAAATAATATTGACCACGTGAAATCTTAATGTCAATAACAACTTAACTTAAATATATATATATATACATTCCTCTTTTACTTATAAAACAATTCATCGCTTAAGAAATTAGTTGTGAACTGTATAAATCCTTAAAACTTAGAAAATCCTCAATTTTTAGTTTAAAACCTCTTAAAACCCAATCATTCTCCACCCAGGCATACCCCATTTATATTCCTTCAATTCCTTTAATATGCCTCCAATTCCAAGACCTTTATATTCATTTCCCACGTTATACTGTCAATTCCTTGTGTCACATAATATGACACATCCTCGCAGGCCTCGGTAACACAAAGTCAATCTGAGCCGCATTCCTCGCAGGCCTCGGGAACACAAAACTGACTTGATCCGCATTCCTCGCAAGCCTCAGGGGACCATTAGTCAGCCTGAGCCGCATTCCTCTCACCACACAGTTCGAGCGTCCCCGAAACTCGTGGGGCATTATTATAAATGACAAAACTGTTTTCAAGGCAACTGGGGGTACTCCTGTGGAGGGTTTGGAAACCATATTCCAAAACTTATCATAAAATTTCCCATATTCCACCACCCCATATTTCAAACCCATTCTCAACTTATGAATTTACACCACATACTGTTGAGAACTAGAGTCCATAATTCATCATTTCCAAACCATTGCATATATATATATATATATAATATAGACATTTAATTAGTTAGTTTTATTAATCGTGATAATGTAAACTAATGAAAAATAGCAGCCTTTATCCCATATCCTCAATAACCCATATTGAATAAATTTTCAATCAAAACTCAATATGCACAAAATTCCATAATTGAAAAACGAAATACACTTAATCACGAATGTCCACCCACTTCTTAATGATCATAGTTGAGTTCCATGACTCACTTCCATAACTAATAATCCAAGTATCCCAAAATCATATATTCCATCATTTCAAATATTGCAAAAACTTCAAATAATATTTAACATCCGATAACCCCACAATTTAAAACAATTTAAATAATCTCATAAACCCATAAAATCAACATAACTCAAATAACGGTCAAGACTCGTCAATGAAGTTATTCTAGCAGTCCTCGAAGGGTGAGACTACCTCAGAAGACTCACAGTAAACTGAGGGTCAAACTCCCTAAACTCGGTCATTCGGGCCCTGGGGCCCACCATCTCCGTTCTACGAGCCGGAAATTCCTATGAGTTCCACAAGGTTTACTAAGTACGTCCTGCAATTTTGGTTCGAATCGATTGTCGGATTGATCACGATCGTACAATCGGACGATTATCATTTAATTAAACTTCGAATTATTGAATCAAAATATCCGGGACTCCGATTCACGATCCGTGAAATCCTATACGATCCTAGGAGTGCCTAGATCAACATATATTAAATTGAAGATGATCCAACAGTTCAAACCTATTGAACCCAGATAATGCGTAATATGCGATATCCGTTCGATAGTCAATCAACATCCAAATCGAAATCCAAGCACACCTAAGCGCTCGTGGCAAAAAGGAGATCGCATTGGAACACAATGCACCTCTGCTACAGTGCCCACACGCCGCCACACGCGTGGGTGTCCTAAGCGATACCGGTGGCCGAAAAACTTCAAAACCGAGGGCCACCCTTCCTGCTATAGCTACTGCTCGACGAGTAGAACACTTTCTTCAACTATGACAACATTCAATTTGGATGGCAACTGGCCGAAATTTCAATTCGAAATCTGGCCAAAATCTGGGTTGTAAATCGAGTTACCTATACTAGAAATTGATCAAATCCTACCCAACCATAAGCTATAGCTCGAAGAATAGATGAGAATCCATACCTCACCAAAAAACTGTTCTTTGTTGTTGAAGTTGGGTATATGTGTACTTAATCCGAATATTCTGCTCAAATCCAGCTAAAGAATCTCAAGCTTATTTCATTTTAACTTTGACATCTGAACTATTGCAAACCAGCATTATATGCAAATAGTTCAAGTATATGTAAACCCGGATCATTTTAAAACCGTAAGATTGTGTTGGCAGGAAGGAGTGCCACTGCATGCTCTTTCTCACTCCTGACAATGATTTTGCTGGACCGGAACAGGTAACTTATGCACTCTTCTTTTAGCTCATCAATTGTAGTTTGTTGGGATAATCTAAACAATAGCTTTTACGTAATGCGGTTTGAGAAATCTTATGTACTTCCTGTTCTTGCATGTTATTTTTATAGTCTAATTTGTTTTCCCTACAACTCTTGTGCAATGCAGACCATCTCCTTGGAAGAGATCAGAGAATCAACAGCAAACATGTAATAAGCTTTAGTGTGTATTGAAAAGTATGTGTAAACAGTCCACTTCTGTATTTGTGAAAGGAAAAAAAAAATTGGGTTAATCGTTTTATTAGTCTTTGAACTTAGACCCGATTTGCATTTGAGTCCCTCAATTTCCAAAATCGTTCCTGTGGTCCTTTAACTTCACTTTCGTTAGGACAAATGGTCCTGCCGTCAATTTTGTTAACTTTTTCTGTTAAATGCAGAGGCAAAATGGTATTTTTATATTAAAAAAAAAAAAGAATCAAAAAATCATATCTTTAAAATAACAATAAAAGAAAATCAAATAAAAAAGAAGAAAAATTTAATCAATTTTGATACAAAAATACCATTTTGCCCCTGCATTTAACAGAAAAGTTAACAAAATTGACGGCAAGACCATTTGTCCTAACGAAATTGAAGTTGAAGGACCACATGAACGATTTTGAAAATTGAGGGACTCAAATGCAAATTAAGTCTAAGTTCATGGACTAATAAAATGATTAACCATATATATATATATATATATATATATCTCCTACTCTTCATCACAAAATTATCATAATCTCTCCTCTTTCATCCCTTCCCTTGAAACCATGTCGTCATCTTCCATTTGCTCCCTCTAATTGGCACAACTTGGCCGATACACTCAAACAACTCGAATTTGCTCCCTCTAAATTTTTTTAGACATTCTTCTAATAGAAATGTTTTAAAAGAATCATATTTATGTGCCAATCGTTCCCTCTAAATTCTCATGTTTATTGGGTTTTCATGGCCTCTCCATTTGCTCCCTCTAAATTCTTTTAAACTTTCTTCTAATAGAAATGTACAAACAAATAAATAAAAATTACTTTATCAACTATTTTCTAATGAAATAGTCCTTACTCAGAATATACAAAAATTACTCCCTTGCTGACATTTTCTCGAAAAGAATAAGAGCATCTCCAAGGGAATTGACAAATGAGTAGGCAAACCTCATTTGCCTTGCCACATCAACATTTTTATGCTCAAAAGGAATAGGCAAATGGGTAGGCAAAATATGTCTACTCTCCCAAACAAGGCAATATGCCTACTTCAAAGTGAAAAGGTATATTGGGCCCCACTTACTTTTTATAATAAAATATCATATTCACTCTCTCACATATTGTCTATAAAAAATAATAGTAAATATAAAAGATAAAAATAATGACAGGACCCGCCCCAGATTCCCCCTCGGAATCCATGACGAACCTTGCTTCCCGTCAGACACTAACCTGACGTTGGACCTACTTTACTAAAACGCCCACTAGCCCTAACTTTGAAGGATAAACAAGTCGACTTCTACCGAAATTTTAGCAGAGTCTTCCCTGAAAAATGGACTTTTCCCAAATTACAGTACCTGCAAACAAGTACGAAACTAATCCCAACTTCCAGCATGCACAAGGTAAAGGTACACACAATGGTTAAGATTAATGAAATGGGCCTCATGCCCTCTACCCAAACTCAACGAGCATATAGAGCAACTAAAGATTTAAGTTTACAACCCGGGAAAGAATAAAGGTAGAGAGTGAAAGAAAAACATTCCTACGGAGCGGACAACCGTGATGTTCTCGACCTCGAATATCTAGGACCTAGGGGCGCAAAATAAAAAGTGTGAGTGGACAAAAACAAGCGTTTAAACATAATTCTATTCAACATAAATAACCCCCTTTGTTTTATAAAATATTGTCAAAACTTGTCTATTTAAATCCTTTTTGTAAAACCGTGAATTTAAACCCACCAAAATATCTCATTAACACAAATATATTGAGCCATTAATTTCCAAATAGCTAATCTCAATTTCAAACCTCATTCAAATATCCATACCTGTGCAGAGCAGTCTCAATGCATATATGCTCAAAAACCCAACCTGGAAACAAGTCTACAGATATACCCACATAATACCTACATACATATTTATATATTTAATCAAATTTATATGCTTGACATTCCATTCTTTAAAATCAAAGTATCCCATATACCTAATTATATAACAAAAACGACTTTGAAAACTAGATAACCCAAAATCCCGATAGTAGTAAAACCCCAAACTAAACTCGACCTTTTTCCCGTACCAAACCACTCCCTTTTAAAACACGTGCCCATAGGCACACCAAGCGAGGAAGGATCCTCACTAAACAAGATAAGAATAAAAGTGTAGTAGAATATATGTATACTACATAATTTCCACACCAATACTTGTATCGGGGAAACAATCCAACATGGGGATTGTTTGACTAACCCGTAGGGTTTCAACTTTCTACCCTGCATCTAGGGATGAGCTATCCAATCGGGGGACTACCACTCTACAGCACACACACCGGAAAATCCAATGCCACGAAGTGAGCCCACATGCTGGAAAATCCAATGCCACGTGTAGGTAAAGTAACCAATATCCAAAGGGAGGTACACAGGGTGGTGCTAAAAGCACTCCAATATAACGTATTCCACATCCCAACTCAGATACCATAACCATATCCCAAATTCCAAATATTCCAATGTACCCAATCCCATATACATAGCCATCTGGACATTAATAGCGTCCATAACTCAATACCCAAATATTTATACATAATGTAGATCACAAACTCCCTTACAATACTCTTTCCAATAACATAGCCGAGTTCCAAGACTCGTTTTCACAAATATCCAAATCAAATTATCCCATATATCATATCCATAACTCAAAATATTCATAAACTTCAAATATCAAAATAAACTCCAATAATTCCATAAAATACTATATTCCACAAAATAAACAATATTATAAGTTCATAAACTCAATAATCAAAATAATCCAAATTATATAAATATGCAAGACAATTCATAAAATACTTTCATAATCAAACCCAATATCACCCAATCCATATACTTTAATAATAACCATAATAACAATAATAATCCCTAAAAAAACCATGTCACATTCCGATAAAATCATAATCCAAAACCCAAAATTCGTTTACTTTATAACTAACTATAAGTTCTAATAATCCCATAAGATGATATAAAACCATAGTCAAAACATATATCAAATCCCAATAAACCAAATAAGCCAAGTTTTAAATCCAATCTCACTTATGCATGCAATTCCATATTTGAACAACAATGCTCATTTAAAAAAAAATGTCCACTCACAACAGGTCCACACTACTTAATCCTGAGAGAGCTTTTCCTCTGCAATACGCGAAGCAAGAGTACCTAATCAAGAGAATAAGTGAACTTAATGAATACATGTACCCAACAACGAACTTTAACTCAAACATTAGTTCCCAGGTCTCAAAGTAAGTGTGCAAGACTACAGGAGGGTTTCTAAGGCCAATCTAATGCCTTTTGAAAGGTGGGACGACCTCAGAAGACTAACAGTCAACCGAGTGGTCAAACTTCCCATACTGATCAAATGGGCCCGAGGGGCCCAAGACCTACGATTTCTGATCCGAAAGTTCCTATTGGTCCAACAAATTCCACTAAACAAGTCCTGTAAGTTTGGTCTTGATCAAGCGGTTGGATGTAAGCCAATTGCATGATCAGACAACGATCGCTTCACCTAACACTAGAATCATTAATTCGGAGTATCCGAAACTTCGATTCTCAATCCACAAGTTCCTACACGATCCTAGAGATACAAAGAACAACATATTTGAAATTGGGATTGATCAAAAGGTCTGAACCTATTAAACCCGGATATCGCGTATTAGGTGCAATATTCATTCGACTGTCAAATGGTAACCAATTCCAAATCCGAGCATCCCGTCGTGCTCAAGACAACAAGGGGAATATTTTAGAACCTAACGGGCCACCACAAAGTGGTCCACGTGTCGCCACCCGCCGCCAGCATTGCGTGGGTGCCTTGAGTAATTTTCAGCGACCGAAAAACTTCAATTCACCGGTCAATACCTATACGATTAGAATTAGACTACCTAGGGGATCAACTTTTGTTCTTGGACCACAGCCAACAACTGACCGAAACTAGCCAAATCGAAGCCAAAATCGTCGGCTAATATGGGTATATTGAACGATCTGAACCTCAAAATCGGTCCAAGATACATATACTAACAGCTAGAGCATGTCAAGGGGATGAAGAACCATACCTTGGTCAACGACAACAGTCGTTGAAATCGTTGGAAATGGGGTTGGAAAAATTGCCGAAACTTTCAGTCGATACTGTCGACTATCCTGGTGGTTTCGAGCTACGAAAAGTATTGGGTTGTATAGAGGAGGAAGAGATGATTCTGTTGCTACAAGAATCGTCGGATATGGTCAACGGATGGCGAAGAAATCGCTACTTGAAGAATCGGCTATTGCGCAGAGGAAAGAGAGAGAGAGAGAGAGAGAGAGGGCTGATATGTTTTTAAAACCCAACTTTGAAAAATTTGCGGTTGTGACATTGCACTTCCGTTGACCACAACTTCTTTGTTATAACTGCGATTTGAGCCCACTACGTGTCTACGAACTCGTGAGAGCGAGCTCTAAAAAATGGTGCCACTCAAATCCCCAAATTCCTTCCTGCTGAAAGAGTGACTAAAGTGCCCCTGCCCCAAGGGCAAAATTGTAAATTTAGAAATAGAAATAAATTGAATAAAATGATTAAATTGGGTTGGGGTGTTACAAATAAATAATATAATAATGGTTTGTAGACTTGCAGTCACAGCTTGACTCTCATTTTTGGAGCAAAACTTACTAAGGTTGTCGGTGGTGGTCAGTCTCTTGGAGTGACCAACTTTTTTCATGAGGCAAATGGGTAGGCAACGTGCCACCTAGGTTGTTATAGTATAATTTTGCCTATTTCATTTGCATACTCCCTTGGAGATGCTCTAAGATTCGCCAATCAACTTATTAATCAAACAAACAAACAAATAAATTAAAAGAAATAAAAGAAGAAGAGACAAATAATTCTTAAACCCTGCCAAAACCCTTGTTGTCGCTCAAAAGAATTCTAAAGCTTCGGTCCTCCACAATTCCATTGGCACCATGTGGAAGCAGCCTTTGCAGGTGGTTAAGGCCAATGTGTCCTCCAACCCAAGGACCTGGATCGCCATCGGTCTTAGCATCGCCGGGATCGTGATTGTGGCTAAGACTCAGCGTCGAAGAC